GCGGGGGCGGGGTGGGTATTAACATCCCCGTCCCCGCCCCCGCCCCCGATTTTATCAATCGGGGAAAACCCGAACCCGAACCCGAACCCGATAAACACGGGTTTTCCCCGTCCAAATCGGGGCGGGTTCGGGCGGGTACCCACGGGGACGGGTTAGATTGCCATGCCTAGATGATATCAAATCAGATTTTAAATCAATCGAGTTATCATGCTTATTGGCATCTCTAATCGAGTGAATTCAGATGGAGTCCGAAAAAAAAAGGGGGGCGGAATGAATCGCAAATGATGTAAACAAAATGAGAGGGTCATTTAGCAATTTCAGAAAAATATTGAATTGCAAGTGTTTTTTCTTTTTCTTTTTCTTTTTTCTTTTTCTGGAAAAACACCAAAAACTCAAATAACCAGAAGACATTATTCTCGTTATTCTCCGGTTCCTCGCAGGTATCATTTCCATTTATCTGCGTGTAAATACTCCAACTTGTCCTAATTCGAACCTTCGCCTCGCGAATCTGCGATGCGTTACACTTTTGTCCACCGATTCTTCTTTAATTTCCATCCCTTTTTCTCCCAATTCAACTAATTTTGTGCTATATATATTCCCAGGTTAGTGTGCACGTATATAGTTTATGCATCAGCGATTATTTTCTGTGATACTTTTATTAACTCGAATTTGGTTAATCGTGCCATGTACGAGTTGAGTAATTACTTTTCGTCGTCATTGTGTTTGTTTAATTAATTTAGAATTTATGTGTGCTTAATGAATTTGAAACCGAATCAATAGCAGCACTTTGTTTTTGATTTGAGGCGATGCTTGGAGTGTGTTTGGATGGAGAGATTTAACGGAGTAATTCATTTTTCGTAGACGCTTGCTCCGCTCTTTTGGGACTCTCGCTCTATCTCAGTTCAGAACACGCTCTCTTTTTCGGTGGTTCATACCAGGTTCGTCTATCGTCAATGTGATCTAGGGTTTCTTTTTGGTGTCATTAATTTGTGTTCCATTTTTATTTTGTTAAGTTTGGTTTCATTTTTTACTTTGTTAATTTGTGTTTAGTTTTTGATTTAGTATTTTGATGTCATTGACTTTTGTTTTTGATCTAGGGTTTTTTTTTTTTTATATTTATTTATTTCGTGTTTGATTTCATTGTTTGATTACATTGATTTCATAGTCATCTGATGTGTGTCAGTATGTTATCTCGATGTCAAATATGTTTCAAGTCATTGGATATGTGAAATCTGTTTTAGGAGAACAAATTATTATTTATTTTTAAAAGAAACCCAAGTGTCAAATCAATTGTGCCAACAGCCAACAACTTCAGATAGAACAAATTACAACTTCATCACATATATCTGACAAATTAGTAATTGAATTTCAGATGATCAATAAAAAAAAAAACACTGATATTCACTCATAAATATGATTGCCGACCATAATGGTCTTACCTTGAATAGGATTGTTTATGGAGGAAATGTGATATAGATGAAAAAAACATAATACTCTTTATGGTTTGTATCTTATATTGACATTATCTTTATCATTTTTTTCTTTCTGTTTTTATCTTTTTCTTCCCCTAAGATTGTATATATCTCTAGTGTGAGAAAACATATTTTTTTTTTGTATTTCTGCAATCAAGTTCAAACAAACACTAATGGCATGTTTGGGACAGTATTACAAACACGTCAATATTTTCACTTTCAATCAAAATTACAACGTGAAAGCTATAAAAGGAAGTGCTGGCTTGGACTACATTATTGAAGCCAAAATTCATGTTTAAGTAGAATCACTACGGTTGATCTTGTGGTAGGGAGTTGGATAAATGTATGAGTATTTAAGTATGATCGTAGTTACTGTTGTTAAAAATGATATCTTTCTCGGTATTATATGATCAGATCATATTACTAAATAGTATAAGAGCATTTCCATTTGGAGTGTTGGAGTTTATCCTTCCAATTAAGCAAAAAAGCTTATTAAGATCCAGTGATTGAAGCATGTTCTTATTAAGTATTCCTTCCAGTTCTGAATACAAGAAAAAAAAATTGATTCACGCTAACTAAGAAGTTAGTTTACATCATTTAATTTTGCTAATCTCATTCAAAAAATAATTCATTTTCTTAAATTATTCTTCCTTGAAACTTTATATCAAGAATAAGAAGGAACATTAGAAATACAATCTCAATTAAATGAATGGGTATTTTGGGGATATTAGCATTGAATATGGTAAAATTAGTTGAGATTTGTTTATATTTGAGACTAGCACATTTTTTTTGCTTTTTAATTTTTATATCGAACCAGAAGGAATATCCATCAAGCACAAGTTCATTGACACTTTTGTGTGGGCCCAAAGGTACAAAATGGAAATAAAAAAGATTTACATGATAATAAAAAAAAAGAAGTGAATATTTGTGACACCTATTTAGTAAAGATTCTAGAGTTGTTTAGTTGGAGAGAGGAGTTGCTTAAATTATAAAAGTAGAAAAAAAGTTTGTTAGCACAAGTGTAGTTCAATACTTGTATTCCTTAACTAAGGATCGGGGTTCGATCCTCGACTTTAGCATGCAATCCCGATTGAAGGTATCACTTTATTCCTATAGGAGCTGACAAGGTGAGAGAAAGTTGAACCTTCTTATTAAACAGAATGAAAATATTATAAAAGTAGATATAACTCGAACTTGGTAAATTGTGCCCTGTATGATTGAAGAGTAATTAATATTCATTGTCACTGTGTTTAATTAATGTAAAATTTATGTGTGCATAATGAATTTGAAACCGAAACAGTAGCAGCACTTTGGTTTTTGATTTGAGGCTTGCGAAACCTTAGAGTATATTTGGATGGGGAGATTTAATGGAGTAATTCATTTTTCATAGACACTTTCTGTGACTCTCGCAATGTTACTTTGGGACTTTCACTCTACCTTAGTTCAACACACGTTCTTTCTCTCTCTCTCTCGGTGGTTCATACCAGGTCCACCTCTGGTCAATTTGATGTAGGGTTTTGTTTTTCATTTCATTAATTTGTGTTTCATTTTTTACTTTGTTAATTTGTGTTTTTTTTATTTAGTTGTTTGATTTGATTGATTTTGTTTTTGATCTAGGGTTTTGTTTTTTATTTTGTGTTTGATTTCCTTCCTTTCATTTTTGATTTTTTGGTGACCTGATGTGTGGGTCTGTTATCTCGAATTGGAATCTGTTTCAAGTCATTGGATATTTGAAGCATGGTAGTTAATATAGCATGAATCTCGATAGGATTCATGCGATTTGATACGATACAAAGGAGAACAATGCGAATCATGCTGCGTATCATCTTTGTTCTTGAATCTCTCATTGAATCATGCATGAATCGTGATCTGTATCTGAATTGCACGATTCTGGTTCGAAATGGCTAGCTTCTGTGAGGCTAGTGGGAGTTGCAACACTCTGTTGCTCCTCCAAAGGCCGGCCTATTCTGGTTTGAGATGGGTAGCTTCTACGAGGCCGGTAGGAGTTGCGGCACTCTGCTGCTCCTCCAAGGGCCATCTTGCCTGCCTGTTGCAGCTGGAACTATGCTTCTCACAGTCAAAATCACGGAAAATGACATAACTACAATACAAACACATATTGATGATGGGAGAGGAAAAAATGTCAGAGTTGTGAAGAATCTGTTAATGTGTGTGATACTGTATATGGGATATGAGAGTCTGTGAGGAGAGGCTGAGGTTGATCTTAGTGTGTCTGGGTAGTGCTGTGTCTTGTGGTGATGATAATGTATTGCTGGTTCCTCCAAGAATGTGAGAGGTTGCGGAGAAAGGGTAGAGAGGTTTTGAGTGTTGTGTCTGATGATAGAGTGAGCTTGAGTGGAAGGTCTGTTGTGTGCCACTGAGATATAGGACCAATCTTATAGCAGCTATGATTTCACGCTGGTTCTGACCCTGAGCAGTTACTACAGAACAAATAACATATCTTACCATCAGTGCTTCATTTACATTGACATTTTGCTCCTGATGACATGGACCTTGCATTTTTTTTTTTTTTGAGGATTCAAATTAACTGACTTTGGTGTTTTGTTGTTGAAACATAATTTTCCTTTCCCTTTTGGTAGATAACCATTGCCTATGGCCCCAGAACTGTCTTTTCTATGATGAGTCAGGTAGAGGAAATGATAGACCTAGTTAATTTCATTTTTGAACCATATGCCTGGTGTTTATGGAGGTGATAGACCAAAGGAAAGACTGAATCTTGCACAAATGTTGTTCTTGTTCATGTTGATTCTAAGCAGAGGACCGGTTGAACTTTTATGATGTCTATTGTCTACTCCTCTTCTTTGTTATCTCTTTGAAAACAACTGTTTTATCTGGTTCATTACTTAGCCTTCCGTAAATGAAGAATATGTATGGTGTCATATTCTTCTCAACCAGTCAAGATTCAAAATTAGATACAACCTTTATTTATTTCCCAGTAAGTTGGTACAGTCATTCTGCATTAAGAAGAAACCAATGTATCCAAAATCCAGAACCAATTGAATTAAAACTATGATATCCTCTATTCATAAACAACTATGGCATTTTTTTTATTCTGCGTCTGCAGGTTAAATGAAAACATATATATATGGTTGATTTTTCGTATAGCCAAAGACTACCTTATTATAAAGGGTGGCATGGAAGGGGAAGAAAAGAAATAAGTTAAATCAGAAAAGAACTATGGCATTTCTGTCAGCTGAGAATACAGGTACAGTTCCTGCATGAGAAATTAGGTGCTAAATCTTCAAAGTTTAGAAGGAAATGATGCCTTTGTGGCATATCGAATCTTTAGATGACGCAAAAAGATTTACTAAATGATGCTAATAATAAGGTTAGTATATTCCTAAAACAAAGGGTCCTTCTAGTATAGAATGAATTATAATTTAATATCCTAAACAGTTATATATATAAATGGACGTGAAATGCCAGAAAGAGGTCTTAAGGAAAATGTTAATCATTGTTTCTAGACAAAGCAATTGATTTCAACAAAATCTGATGGAGAATTTCTAGACTAGCCATTATATCAACTGGATAAGTTTAAGCAAAAAATATCTGCACAAGAACGTTCCCCTCTTCACTCTTAAAATGAAGCTAAAACTGATAAGCACCAAGAATTAGCTGTTTTTGCATACTAACCTGGAATGAGTAGATAATCCAAAACAAGCACATATCACCACTTTTCCAACCTACTTATGTAATCTCCAAGAAAATGTGCGTGTGGTTGTTAGAGCAGTGGCATGTTTAATTATTTATGGCCTTTCTGCCTGAATGTTTATATCCTTTATCACACTAGTTTTATTTTTTAGCTTCACAGTGGTGTGGAATCTGGATTGAGAAGAAATGGATTCTAGAATAGTTCATTTGGACCTGGGATTTACATGCAACTGGAACTTTGTGATCTTGTTTTTGTTAACTGTCCGATCAAAATTGAATATTCCCTATTGTTATTTTCTGTTCAAAATGAGCCCACTTTGTATTGTGGATAGGTGTATTGAACGTCTTGTGGTGATAATGGTGTTTTGGAGCTGGTTTCAATATATTCTGAATACTCATTTGTAATGTAATCTTAGAATTTTTTGCAAATTTATAGAAGAAAAAATAGTTTTAAAAAAATTATTGCAAGTATTCCTTCTAACAGCATAACTAATTTATCTGCAAAGCTTTGTTATTATTAAAGTATAATTAAATTTGAAAATTTATGTGGTGACACTTATAAATTCTATTTATTAAATATTTAAAATTTGACTAATGCTTATTTTCTGTAAAGTTTAATATTTTAAATTAATTTTGAAATAAATATTTAAAAACGTTTTTTTTTTTTGCATGCAGTGAAAATTGAATTACTCTATTCAAATAAAGAATTAAAATAAAAGAAACTTGAATTGTTTTAACCTATTAAGGTATTTGGAAAATGAAGGGAATTTAAGTCGAAGCTGTTTAAATTTCATGTACTTATATTTCCTTGAAATGTTAAAATTTTTTATCCAAACACCAGGTTATAGATAATTGTGTACTGTTGTTAATTATGAGTTATAGTTATTCTCTGACTCAATTTACATGTAGAATTAGATGTAACTAAATTAGGTGGTATTTGGTTTTGTGACTCTTTCTGTGTGTGTATGTTCAGTGCCAAGGCCTGATCTAATTGTGTTGGTATTGCTACAGTACTGTGCATTATTTGTCTAGATGCTTCTGACAATGTTGTAACTTATACTTTTACACATTTTGCCAGATAAATAACATGAAATAGTGGTTGCTGGTCTTTCTGGAGTTGTTCTCTTTTCAAACGTTCAATGTTTAGGAGATGAGGTTGAAATTAATTGGGAATAGAGGTTAATGTTTCATGTTTGATGATCAAGATTTTGGGTTGAGCTTTAAAAAAAAATAAAAATTGAAGGATGAAAATGCCTTTAAACTTGTTTTGTTAATTTTATTTATCTTTTTATTTTTTAATTCTCATGCTTGTAGGTCAGCAGAAGTCAGATTTTTCTTGTTTGTGGGTGGACATGCAGAAGAAGGCTGCACTCAACTTCCGTGCTTTCCACTATAACTAAAGCAAAGATTGTACCGTCCTAAAAGCTTGTGGACTTATTTTAATGGGTGCTCCTAAGCAGAAATGGACTGCAGAAGAAGAAGCAGCATTGAAAGCTGGAGTAGTCAAGCATGGGGCTGGAAAATGGCGCACCATACTTACAGACCCAGAGTTCAGTTCCATTTTGCGCATGCGTTCAAATGTAGATCTCAAGGTAAGTCTTTTTATGGGCCTAACATGTTACTACTACTGCACATGTCAAATGACCATCCAGTTATTACATCATAAGAAATACATGTAGAGTTCTTTGCTTTTGCTTTGAGAAATTTCCAATTTTAAGGGACACTGAGGTGTATCTGTATATGTGCTTTAAACTGTTAAACAGGACAAATGGAGGAACATAAATGTGACAGCAATATGGGGATCTAGGCAGAAGGCAAAGCTTGCTCTTAAAAAGAACCTACCATCCCCCAAAATTGACAATAACCACATGGCATTGAGAAATGTAGTTCAACGTGACAAAGAAGTTGCAGATCTCAAGCCTCTGGGAGTTTCTGGTGGAACATCTCCTAATTCAAAGGAAAAAATATCAAGGTTACAGAACATCCAGTTAAATATATCTTCCATTTACATGAGAAAATAAATGATCTACTCTATTCAGTTGGTTTAATCTTGTATAATTGTATATTATGCTTCCCTTGCAAGTAATTAGTTCTAGGATTGCATAAAGCAATTAACTAGAATACCAATTTTGGAATGGATAGATAATTAAACTTGGTATCTAGGAATTAATGTTATTTTTCATGTTCTATGGGGAATCCATTATTATGATTCTTCATTTTTCATTGAATTTTATTTATTTAATTTCATGATAACTTTGCAGTTTGCACCAAGCATGGCAAAGATACACTGAAAATATGATTCAGTTAACTATGTAGATGTTCCAATTGCATTTACAAATAATTGATAAATAGTTATCTTCTGTTGCTACTTCTTATGGAGACATCCTGTTAAGTTTGCGGTAATTTTGCTGAAATGTTGAAATTGTTGTTAATTGTGACAATATGTTTTACAATGACAGCACCTGTATGTTTTTTAATTATCATAGGTTGGATAATCTTATATTAGAGTCCATTATCAAATTGAAGGAGTCAAAGGGTTCTGACAGGGCAGCTATTGCTGCATATATAGAGGTATTTGTACCTCAATTCCTTCACTTATGGTCATAGAATTTTAACATCTCAAGAAACAACTTATGATCAAAGTGTTGGTGCATGTAAACATCAACGCAACAAAGAATATTTAATTTCTTCAATTGATTTGTTTTCATTTATTCCTCTGCTATGAAATAATCTCTTTCCATATATACAGTTTGTTTTGTTTGATGTCTTACCTACAATGGATATGTGTATACCAGCCTGTTTTTTTTTCTTATTAAGTTACCATAAAAAAATGCTCTTAAACTGTTTGAAATATTTCTCTCATTGGCCCATCGATTATATATTGTTTATTAATTTCCCGCAATTTCAACTAGCTATGACATGTAACTCCGGAATTCTCTTCTGCTGGGTACAAAAATGTTCTGGCCTTTCTTCAGTTAAATGTTTCTTTTTTCCAAGCTTAAACAGGTGCTCTACATGCCAAGCAATGAGCTACTATCTTTGGTCGTCCCATGGTTCACAAAAGCTTAGCATAATTCAACCAATCATATGCTATGTATTGCTTGTCTTTTTAAATATCCTGATAAGCTTACAGCATTATTGAATATAGTAAATACTAGCAACTTAATTTTTCTTTATGTACTTGTCAGCGCCATTGCATCTAAGTAATTTTGAAAATTTTCACCTCATTAGGATCAATACTGTTCTACACCAACTCTCAGAAAGTTATTGTCAACAAAACTGAAGCATATGGTGGCAAGTGGAAAATTAATGAAGGTAATTTTACTGTTTGTTAATGAGTCACATTGTGCTTGACTTCTTGGAACTTAGTTTCCCAAGAAGGCAGCATCTTTACGTGCAAAGCTTTGTAATGAAGAATAGCCAGTCTGGATAATTTTTATTCCAAGTATGACAAATAATTTACTAACATGCTTAATATTGTTTAGTGAAGTTTATTAACAAAAGTGATTTGTGACGAGAAAGTAATTATGTAGGGTACAGATGTAATAAGAAATATGTTCGCTTGTGACAATTGAACTATGCATATCTGGGCATGTTATTTGGCAGGAGTGAAAATCTATTTAAAATTTTGAATTGATAAAATTTTCCCATCTAATAAACCAATATTTATTTGGTCAATCGATTCTGAGTGTGGCATATCTAACGAGTAATGACAGGTAAAGCATAAGTACAGGATTGCAACAAATTTATCAATATCTGAGAAAAGATGCTCTTCCTTGTTACTCTTGGAAGGGAGGCCCAAAGATTCTCCAAAAGCAGAGAAGACTGATGTCAACATCCTTTCAAAATCTGAAATTGATGCAGAGTTATCAAAAATAAAGGGTGTGACACCTCAGGAGGCAGCAGCAGCAGCTGCAAAAGCTGTTGCAGAGGCAGAAGCTGCCATTGCCGAGGCTGAGGCAGCAGCTAGGGAGGCAGATGCCGCAGAAGCCGAGGCTGAGGCTGCAAGAGTGTTCGCAAAAGCAGCAATAAAGGCACTAAAATGCAAGACACTTCATATTTGGTAAGCTTCCATACCAAGAAAAATCAATTAATGCCTATAACCGATGTCTATAGATTCATTTCCCTTTTTGAATGCTTTCGGCAAGTGGTAACTTTTTACAATGTCTTTGCCCAATTTTTATCGAGCTAATCTATTAAACTTTTGACAATGTGTACTCTGCAGCTCTATTTCTTCATTTCCTATTGCCTGTCCAATCGTTCCAGAATAACGTGTGACGAGATCTTAGTTAAAATTTTTCGCTTTCATGACTTAGTTTCTATTTACTAGGGATCCCAACCTTCTTCGTTATAATATTTGCTATCCAAAACCCTGTCTCTTGTGAAAAGACCCTAGTTTTGTTAATTAATGCGGGTGAAATTTTTTTTCTAAGCTTTAATTAGTGCCACATTTTTCTTGTTCCTACAGAGTAGTATTGGTATCGGTCAGTTCTTTTAGCTAAACGTTTCATCTTTGCAAATTTGTGCAGATGGTGTCAGCTTCTGCATTGTTGACATGAGCAGTATATCAGCTTGAGATCGTAATTCTACTGCTAGACTTCCTGCCTGTATTCAATTATTGTACATATTTTAGGTTTGTAAATTTGGAGTATGCGGGATTGATCCATAAAACATTTTGTCAAGAGTCATTAAGAGCGTATTATTTATTATTTTTTACCTTATTTTTAAAGAAAGACAATGAGGCGAGAGTACAAAGTATTAGTGGAAGAGTGGAAGTAGTGATCGAATTTTATGATGGAACGTGTGATAGACATCCCTAATAGTAAATGGAAGAACACATTTTTTATTACAGTTCCAATGGCAATATTGAGTGTCACTTTCTCGTTGCCCGTATTTACGCGGGTCCTTGTTTTAAGTTTGTAGTTACATTGCACCGACTATGTTGTAAATATACTGACTTCTTTTAGATTTGTAAAATATTAAACTTAGACAAGTGGTTCAAATGTTTGGGGAAATGATATTTACACTTTAATTTGGAAGATATACAACATTCGAGTTGTGTAATAGATTCAGTTGAAGTCAAAATAATCTCAAGCGGAACGCAATTGGGCAACGCAAAAGGGTCCAATTCTAGGATACACTTTGATGCGCTGGTATAGGACTGAATGATGCACTTAGGTGTGTTTGGGTAAACATTTCCTTAAGCACTTTTAGGAAAGAAAATAATGAGATAAATTTTTTCATGCATAAGTTAATTTTAACATGAAAAAGTTTTGGTGTCAATTTTTTTTTTATGAAAATGTTTAATTGAATTTTTTATTATTTTTTTTTCTAGAAATATATGAAAACTACCCAAACCAGACTTCCTCTTCAATCAGGTATGGTTATGATGCGTAAAGTTAATACAAATATACTTTTGAGCTAAACAACATACATGGACGCGAGGTAGTCATTGCCATTTTGAAACCAGTCAAAATTTGACCAAAAACATATAAGAACAAAATAATCATTTTAAATAGGGAGATAGAAAAAAAAAATTGTCTACAGCATTTGCAAACACGAGTCATTTGCTTTTAAGATTCTGTCAGACTTTATCACTGTTACATCTCACGTCCATAATATTGGTAAGGTATTCAAATTAGAGTTATGAACAATACGTACGAATTTTGTGGGCAAGTACTTGCAGTGACCGAATTACATGTAAAATCGTACCACTTACATTTAACTGAAATCACCCAATTCATATCGTGAGGTATATCTTAATTCCACACGTCAAATTAAAAACTACTTTAATTTCATATTAAAAACGAAGTTCTACCACTTTTAAGCCATTTGTCATTGATGAAAATCTATTCTAATTTCAGACGCTAATTCATACATAAAAAATAATTTTAAAGAAATGAAATTAACAACATAAAGAAATTCTTTTAAATTTTAAATTCTATAATGTGAAAATTCATCTAAAACTCATTTGAACCTGATGCACAAAGATTAAAAATCTCCAACTTACTACCCCTTCGAGATAAAGAAATAAAAAAAAATAATGACAACACAGAAGATAGCTGACTTAGCAATGTTTGGAAGAATCATCGGAAAGAATCTAATATCCAATCTAATTTACAAAGATAAAAAGATCAATTCCTCCCGCAAGTGCAGTCCAGTGATTTTTTTTCAGTGATATAGATACTCCTATGACACAATATGATTTGCTAATAAAGTAACCCTTCACACGTATGTCATCCCGCTTAATTCCCCTATCGGACAAGAATGATATTATATTACAAAGCATCTGACAAAAGGGAAGAATAAAATCAATCAGCAACCGAGTTAGACATGCAAATGCCTCTAGTAAAATCCAGAAATTTGTCACCCATAAATTACATTAGAGTTCAAAGCAGAAAGTAGGTTCTCAGCTCTTTGATTTGGAATGCTTTACAAGCCAGTCAATAACAGAGTCAATGTTGGTCGAGTTTTTGCATGAGATCATAAAGCAGCAAACTTCCCTGTCAGTAATTGACTTCAGATCCCTGCACACCAGAATGCATTTTTCAGCACTAAATAAATGCAAAAGAATAGGGAATGGAAGGAGAAAATCTAATTCTTAAACAATTTAATTCTGTAGTTTTCTGCTGCCAGTCAGAATAAAAGTGATAAGTCTTACATTTGATCAGTCAACGCTTGTTTAGACAGAGCCCCTGGTTTGTCAATCTTGTTCCCCAACACCAACAAAGGGATGCCACTCAATGATGGTTTGCTCAGCAAATCATGAAGCTCGCTTTTTGATATGCTAAGGTTATCTGGATCGGCAGCATCAACAACATAACTGCAGAAGAAGACCGAATTATGAGAACTTACAACTCGTTGCCCAGTCATCTAAACAACAAGTGGTTTTGCACCACTGCCATTGATAAAAGAACTGTTTGGGTTCATGGAAGAAAAAATAATAAGTCAACTACTAGTTATAATCAAACTGAACTTACTCTGTGGGTAATGGAACTACTAAAAAGACAAATAAATAACTATGCTCCTTGATTAGCAAGAACAAACTTGGGGCTTTGGATAGACCTCAAATTGATCACTATGCAAGATTCTAATACATGTGGACAACATGAACATTGTACACACATAAGTTGATTACCAACACAATTCTACAAATATAAATTGAGTGCTAGCGACGCACTCTTATCAATGCACACTCTCTCCAATTTTATTAAAAACTACAAGATTCATAAATTTCAATCAATATTGCAAAGTGTTTTCCTAGCATTTCTCAAACACATTAATCAATAAAATCTGTATCAGAATATGCATGTAAAGTAAACTATACTCCTATGAGAAATGCATGAATGCATGCACACACGCAATCAGAAGATAAAAAGTTTGTTACATACACAATAGCAGAAACAGCACGACAGTAACGTTCCCACATGCTGCGGAACCTAGGTTGCCCTCCAAGATCCCATAACTTTATTGTAACATTCCCTTTTGTCACTTTCCTCATATTGAATCCCACCTGGAATAATAACAATAAATTGATCAGAATATTATTCCCTTGATAGATAGAGAAGTCCATAAAATCGAATAAACAAAGGAGCAAGCAATAATTAAAAAGCATTTGGTGAAGTGAACTTACAGTAGGAATCATGTCCTCACTATACCCACCAGTCTATAAACAACATTAAAGAAAACAATTGTCAGCGAAAAACAGCAAAGTATTAACTAAACAATTAAGTTACTAAGAAAACCAACATGATTATTGTACTTACAGCTACTACATTTACAAGGGAAGTCTTTCCAGCATTCTGAAGTCCTATCAGAGATAACTCCATTTCTTGCTTGAAGAAAAGGCTGCAATCAAATTTACAACATAGTAAGCCCATGCCTTAGTCTTGCAGAAAGTGATCCACAAAGTTCATATCATGCACAGACATAAACACATATATAATTCAATTCCCAAGCGTAACCTAAACCTGAAAAATTGTGTTATAAAAAGAGAAAGCATGTTCACTGCAATCAAAAACCTTTAAAAAATAAAATAAAATAGCTGTTTCACACGAAAACGAATTAGCGAGCGTTGTACAAGAAAAGATAATTGGGTGATTTCCTTTCATTAATTTTTTCACCAGCGATTTCCTACTCTGCTTCTTATTTCATTAATGCCAACAAAACCCTACTCAATTCCTAAAAAGAAAAAAATAAAAAAGGGTTAATACTAAACAGCATTCCTCTTCGAATCGAAAAGTCATTGGAAACAAAAAAAAAAAAAAAATCACGAATAGATAAATCTTTAGAAAATCGTGAAACATTAGTCACAAAATAGATAAATATTTGCCTCGAACAGCTTCAAAAATATTGCATATCAATGCACACGAAAACATTGGGCAACAAACAAATCCTCTTTCTAAACAATCAAAGGTTAAAAAACAAGTACATAGCAATAGCAGAACCTCTTACTTTAAAAAAAAAAAAAAAAAAAGTAAAATTATTTTGGTTGAAGGAAGCTTACCTGCGAAGCCAATTGAGAAAAGCTTCCCACAGTCCCATTGTTTTGTGTTGATCAGAAAGAAAGAAATCAGATCTCGCTTCCACAAAGAGAGAGAAAGCTATCAATCTCTCTCTCACAATCACAACCCTTCTCTTCCTCCCTTCCCTCTCTTCCCACTCTTATATTTACGATTGCGATTCTCCTCAGATCCAACGCTTCTACATTTTCCGATCAATCACGTCCGTTGATTACGGAGAGTTTCATTGCGATGCCGAAACTCGCGATGCAGGAGATCACATCTCACTTCTGATCTTTATTTAGAGTTTAGACATACCTGTATCTGATCATCGCCCACGAATTCCTATCGCTGGACCATACCCAACTTCATTAGGAATACCTTAAGGCCTTTTCCCACCCTCGCTTGTGGCGCGTGCCCTACACCACCCACTCGAAAGTCGAAACTGCGACGTGTGCGTACGTGGAAGAGCGCGTGACATTGTGACAGCGAGTGAAGACGGCTCCGACAGCTAAATTATGAGTATCTTAACTTATCATAACTAATCAAAGGCAGATTGGAAGCGTGACAAATGTGAGCTGGCTACTGCTTCAATTTTCAAATATTATCTCTATATATCTTTAAATCTTTTATCAACAAATATTTATCTTTTTAATTTAATCTAAATTACCACTTTAGATGGTTAAAATCTTAACTAATTTTAATTCAATTTTTATAACTTTGAATTAACATATTTATATTAATATATAAAGACATACTTTTCTTATAATCAATCACCTTTTTATCTTTAAAAAAATTATAGATTATTACACGCTCAATTATTTTATAGAATTATATCAACATTCTTTATGATTTTTTTTACATGTAAAAACACTACAAAGAAGGTTTAAAACTAAGACTTTATAAAATTATTTAAGATCATGTATAATTTATGTGATATTTATTAAATAATAAAATAACTAATTATATAAAACATATTATTTATTCAAACTCATGGTAATGATAATGTGTATTAGGGTGACTGTATTGTTTATATTTTTCATATAAAAACATTAACAATACTCTTTATGACATTTACGTAAACTTCGTGTAATAATAAAATGAGATATAAAATAATGTGAAAATTTTATTTTAATAATATAATGTATAATATTGTTAATATATTTCAGGGTAATTATTTGATTATTATAGTTGAGGAAAACGAAAATAATACGTTGACGTGTGTGTGTCGTAGATATGGCAAAACGGGTAGGTGGTACCAGAGTTTCAAAGATAAGTAAGTGGTAATGCATAATTTGTCATTTTGCTAACATTACATTTACACGTAACTCAAAAAAACATTAAAATGCACAGCGACAAATTCCTTTATGACTACACATCCATACCATGTGTCACTTTACAAAATAAACACCATTAGTCCATTATCACACTTCTCTCTCTTTTCTACTAACCTTTCAAAAATATTGTTTCTATTAAATTTCATATATTTTTTTTTACTTTACCAAAAAAAATATATTATTTTAAAAAATTGAATTCCTGTGCATTAAAATTAAACATTTTATTAACTAATTTAATCTCTTAATTTATTTTTCTTAAATAATATGTGTCATTTCTAAATATTTTAAAATTATTTCTCGAATCAAATTTATATTTTACAACCCAAATTTTTCCTAAATACTTTTTAGTTAACTTGTATTTTTATATTTCACTTAAATATTGAAATACATATTAAATGTATGAAAATTTTTTTTTAAAAAAATCAACTTTTTAAAGAGATAATTTAAGGACTTCCAAGACAGAAGGGCTACTGTGTTGAACGAAGTACGACGTTGAGGGATTGACGACGATGGCGATGAGGAGTGCCCCTGATAATGATGACATTCACAATCGCAGTACCAAAAAGGTGAAAACAAAGGATGACTCTATTATCTTAGACGAGACCATGTCTGAGGTTGGGGCTGATGGCGAGCAGCAGGGGATTGAAAAAGCTAAGTCCAAATCCTATCTAGAAAGCCTTTTCTCAAATGGAGCCAAGGCTTTTACTGACTTTCATAGTCTAATGAAAGCGATGGAGGACCCGGAAGAAGCATGCTATAAAAGAAGATGAGGTCTTCGAAGGTGATTCTCTGGAGTTGGATCCATGCCCTACCATTCCGATTGCGTAGGAGGAATTCGAGGAATGGTGCAAACCATGGAAAAACTCCCTGGTAGTCCATGTTCTGGGCAAGCGTGTTGCTTTTCGGATGCTTGAAAACAAAATTCAACGGGAATGGGCTAAGGTTGGGGTGGTACGCATTGTTGATATGTCGCAGGATTTCTATCTAGTTCAATTTGCCGCTGAAGAAGACTATAAACATGCTTTGTTTGAAGGACCCTGGATGATAGCGGATCACTATATGGTGGTCCAAAGATGGCGACCGTTCTTCACACTTAATGAGAAGAAAGTGCGCAAGATTGCTGTTTGGATAAGGATTCCAGGGCTGCCAATTGAACTGTTTGATGATAAGTTTTTATGGAGGGTTGGAAGTAAGCTAGGCACAATGCTTAAAATTGATAAGCTTACCTCAATTCAGTCCAGGGGACGGTTTGCTAGAATTTGTGTGGAAGTTGATATTGCTAAAAAGCTGGTGGCACAATTCAATGTTCTTGGCCATATTCTCAAGCTTGAATATGAAGGTTTGCATGCAATTTGCTTTGGTTGCGGGAAGTACGAACACAAGCAAAGCCAATGCACCATGCAAGGGGTGGACGGTCCAGGAGATGCGATGCATATTGAAACAACGAGGGAGATGGATGGGGGCGAGGCCAACCCTAATGATGACGTGTGCCCTAATCCAGTTTTGGAGCCAAATAATGGGCATGTTGATGAGTCATATGGACCATATGGTCCCTGGATGATTGTTAAGAAGGGTCGGAAAAAGAATCATATGGTAGCTGCTAACCATCGTTTGGTTAATCATGATAAGGAGGACGTTACGTTGAACAAGAGGGCTGACGTGGATAGATCAAGCTTTAGCCACACAAATCTCGAGAAGAAGCTGGTTCCTAAAGGCTTGGAGAATGTGAATCCTGAGGAGGCCAAAAGACCACAGAAACAGAAGGAGATAATTACGCAAAAGATCCGTAACGTAGAAGGTGGGCGTAATACTCAAAGTAACACTCGAAAGGGTGAGGCGGTAGGATCAAACACTCCAAAGAATGCTACACCACGTGTACTCAATCCGAAAGGAAAATTGATGCAGCCTATTAAGGCTCACATGGTGAGCGATCAGAATGTCACTATACGACAAAACAAGGTTGACCAAGACAAGAACTCCCTGCAAGTATTGCAACTGCAGAAACAAGCTGCCATAAGTACAGGCACCATGCCAAATGTGAGTATTGCTGCAACCCATCTTATGCTTCCGGATGAAGACATGAGAGCCTTTGCAGTTGCCCTCCGCAACCATTTTCAACATGATAAAGAACCAAATCTGGAGCCAGCTGGAGCAAGCCAGACGTGTGATAATAGTAGAGATGCGTCGCATAGGCCAGATGAGAACAGGGTTATTTCACCCACTCTATCCAATATTAAACAATGAATGTCCTTAGTTGGAATTGTAGAGGTGCTGGCGGGAAAGGGTTTGTGCCTATGATCAACGATATGATTCGTGAGTTAAATATTGGGCTGTTATGCCTAATGGAGACGCAAGTAGCTAAGGTTCAGGGAGAGCGTATTGTCCAACGTATTCAGCTTGATAATTCTTTCATTGTTGAGGGGCATGGTCGAGCTGGTGGTATTTGGATCCTTTGGGACTCCAAGAGATGGAATATAGAAGTGTTGGTCTAGTCGGATCAATTTGTTCACGTGTTAGTTAAAAACAATAATAATCATTGGTTTATTACCTTTGTATATGCCAGCCCTCACTCTCAATTTCGTGTTGGGCTCTGGCGTGATATCTCTCGACTTGAAGCAATTGTGGATGGACCTTGGGCCTTGATGGGTGATTTCAATGCCACTTTGCGTGATCATGAAAGACAGGGAGGGTCAGCTTCTGCAAACAGGCGTGGTGATAATGCATTTCGTGATTGTTTCTCCAAGTGTAGTTTGCTCGATATTGGGTTTCAAGGATCTCCTTTCACTTAGAAGCGGGGTGCGCTGCGTGAAAGGTTGGACAGATGTTTGGCTTCTTACGATTGGCGACTGGCTTTCCTTGAAACAAATCTCATTCATCTTAGTCCTCTCAAGTCAGATCACTGTCCAATTCTGTTAGAATTCGATTGCAGTAGACCTGTTAGGAGAGAGAGACGCCCTTTTCGGTTTCAAGCAGCGTGGCTCACACATGCGGGCCTTAAGGATGTGGTAAGGTCTCAATGGGCGCAAGGTATGGGTATGGATTGGAACTCTAGGATTGTGCACCTTACGCAGTCTCTCCAGGATTGGAATCGTAATGTGTTTGGCAATATCTTCTATGAAAATAGGAGATTGTTAAGAAGGTTAAATGGTATTGCTCGTAAGTTAATACATGAAGTGAATCCATTTCTAGAAGATCTACAATGCAGACTATGGCAGGATTATGAGACCATCTTGACACGTGAAGAATTGCTTTGGTTTCAGAAATCACGGTGTAAGTGGATTAAATACGGTGATAAGAACACTAAATTATTTCATGGAACGACTATCGCCCGACGCAGGAGAAACAACGTGACTATGCTTCAAAACGAGGATGGAGTTTGGGTGACTAATAAAGAGGAGTTGGAACACATGGTTACAAAGTATTATAAAGAGCTTTTCACTGAATCTGGAGATTGTGCTCCATTTAGCTTATCTGGTAGCTTTCCCCTGGTGGATGAGCAATCTTGTCAAAATCTGGGTGATCCAATTGATGATGGTGAAATTCTACAGGCTATGCGTAGAATGGATGGTTATAAAGCACCAGGGAGTGATGGGTTGCAGGCTATATTTTATCAGACACAATGGGATGTTGTGGGAGCATCGGTCTACAACCTAATACATGGATTTGAATCAAATCCAGCATCTATTGCTTGCGTGAATGATACGCTTATCACTTTGATCCCTAAAGTGGAAAATGTTGAAATGCTAAAGCACATGCGCCCATAAGCTTGTGTAATGTTTCTTATAAGATTCTTTCTAAGATTTTGGCCACAAGATTGCGTAATGTAATGGGAAAGCTGGTTGGTCCTAATCAATGTAGCTTTGTTCCAAATCGACAGAGTAAGGATAATATTATTGTGCTCCAAGAGGTGATTCACTCTATGCGGAAGAAGTCTGGGAGGAAAGGATGGATGATCA